GACCCTCCTACACGACCAAATTAGGTAATACTAGTAGTAGAATAAAATTGGTCACTGGAATAGCACGCAACAACAAATTAGTAGTTGAGTTTACTTAGAACTTCCTTATTAATATAAATTCTGTGGGAGCGTTGGATTGATTGTAGATGACTGTAGGTACCAAATATCGTAGCAGAAACTTGTAATTAAAACAAATAAGCAATCATTACATGCACTCACCACTCCAGTGTCTCTGTCCCAACTAATTCGTACTTAATTAAATAATGATAAAATTCTGCGGACGTACAGAAGATAAGATTATGCAAACAGAATCAAGATAAAGATGCCTTTATTCATTTCATGCCTGATTCAGAAAAAAGAAGAAAAACAAAAATGCTACACCTCAACAATCCAATTAGACCATGCCTTAAAGCCAAGGAAATAAAAAAGAAAAAAAGTAGTACTATTCTTCCACCATGATACCACAATCAAAACGCAACATGCCAGCATGGTATATTCATAATCATAATCATCATATCCCACCCCCAAACCAGACATTAGTTTAATAATTTATCAAACCAATTTAATTAGTTGCACGCGAGGAGGCCAACCAAAAAAAAAAAAAAGAATTGAAACAGAGAGGTAGCTAGAATTGATTAACATGAAACTTGTTTACCTTAATAGAACCGATTTCAGATTTGGAACATGGGCTAGGATTTGGTGCTCTAGAGTCTTTGTGTTTCATCTGAACCCCATGTCCACCTGTCTCCTTGAGCAATTTCCCGAGTTTACCACATTTCTTGGAAGCAAACTCCTTCAACACATCTATGGCCCACCAAAACAAACACAATCAAATTCTTATTTTAGTTTTTACAAAACAAAACAAAGACAATATAGTTGCAAATGATAGGAGGTATATATATTATTATTATTATTATTATTATTATACCTTCAAAACTGATCAAGCGATAAACCTGACCAATAAGCAAAGTATCATCGGGTCGGAGAAGCTTAAGTTGTTTCATAGGCGTGGCATTGTCGGACGACTTAAGCGTGGGCGAGGACACGACAAGAGCAACGTAGTGACCAGGATTTGAGTTCATAACCTGGTGCGCGCTGAGCGACCAATAAACCCTCTCGATCTTGTTCCCGGGGTGCTGAATCACAACCGTAGCCGCTTCCGCAGCTTGGCAATTCCCCATAATCTTAATAACAACCTCAGCTACCTTGTTGCAATGCTAGTAGTATGATGGTGGGTGGTGATTTTAGTAGCAATAATAACAGTAGTTATAATAAATAATACGTGTGTAACGTTGAATTGGGTGACGTTTGAAAGACACGTACAACACGGTAACTGTGTACCTGACGGTGTTCCAGGTTAGTTGACTGACGCACGCCAAGAATCAAGTGTTGTGACAGTGCGGAGTGGAATGTGGCCAAAGTTGTGAACAGGGAAAGGCGTGGTTGAACACTTGAACTTGAATTTGAATGGATATAAATAGAGTTTTGGGTTGGATCTGCATGCCAAACTCACCTGGACCTGAGGGAGTTTAGTTCAACGTAGCTTTGCCGTCTCTGCACTCTGCACTCTTTTATAATTGGAAAACTCGGTTTTGCTAATGGGTTCGGTACCTTGTAAACCATGTCTCATGTCTCATGTCTCATGTGTCATGTCTCATTCTCACTCTAGCCACAAATTCAACGCCTTGTGTTTTTGTGTATCACATGATAATATACAATTAATTTAATATTATTAGCGAGAAGCTGTTGTCAGTAATTTTAATATTATTCTGTAATTGAAACTACAATTTCATCTCAAAACCTACATATTAAATATCAATATTGAAAATTCGCGATGACCATTATAATAAATAAAAAAAATTAGTTGAAAGCACATAAAAAAAATGTTAAATTATCTCACCAAAATGTGATTGATTGTTTGCTTTTACATTTTTTTTTCCACAAATTTTTATATTGTTGAATTTTCATTTTTTTCTATATATTTTAGATTGTATCTCAAAATTGATAATAAAATATTAGTATATATATTTGTGAGACATAACTTTTATTAATTAAATATCATTTTAATATGAATAAAAATCGAACTTGATAACATTTCATATTTTAGGTTAAATTTTTATATCATCACAACACATAAATAGTCATATTACAAATAAATTTTAATTTTCTAGTTCTACTTATGGAGAATTTTTTTTTTTTTGTTAATTAACTTCAATAATATCTATTCCTTAAATAAAAATTAGTTTTTAATTATTAGTCGGAAAATATTATTGGTATAAACAATAAAGAAAAGCACTTGAATTTTTCCATGTTATCGCATGGGATGTTTCAATTGAATTTATACATTACTTTAGTGTTTAGGATTGCATAAAAATTCTCTTAACTAAAACTGCAACTTGGGGACAAGTAAATTAGGAGTTGAATTTTACTATGTTTATATTGTTATACTTTTATAATTGAACTCGTTTTAATTCTTTTTAAGAAGGTGATCCAACTCTTTAATTTGAGTAGGCCAAAGACAAAAGTAGAGTCGCTTGTAATATTGATAATGGGTGGGTTGAGTGTGATAGATTGATACGCAATGTAATATTCCCTAAACGGGACGGTTCCGGAATTTGGTAATAATCCACGGGCCAGGGAGCAGGATGAGTTCTGGGAAATGGTTATCATTGTATCAACTGTGGGATGTTTCGTTCTGATAACCTTTGTTATGTATTTATTTTTTATTCATAAAATAATAGATAGATAAAAGATGATAACAATCGAACAAGAAATAAATTACATACCGAAAATACTAATAAGATAAAATAGCGATAACTCACTACAATAAAATAAATTTTTAGTGACATTTAATATAATTTTTAGTGATAATAAAAATTGGTACAAAATCTTTTACCGACATTTTTATATTAGTCATTGTATGGGGGTGTCGTTAAAATATTTAGCAATAATTATTTTGAATGCTGGTAAAAATCTTTATAATGATAAAAAAAATGTATAATTTTTTATTGTATTTTTTTTTTAATTTTCTAGTTGATGTGAGACTTTGTAAGATGAGTACAATGTGAGATTTGTAAGAGGAAGGTTGTCTTCTAGTTATATATTCTTTAATTTCTTTATTTTTTTAATTATCTTATTTCCTATTGAGTTTGGTAATGGTGAGTAATCTAATACAAATTAGAATAGTAAGTTATAGGTTTAATTCAACAATACAAAACAAATTTGTAAGGTAAGAATTATCATCCATTTTTATACTCTTTAATTATTTTATTTCTAGTCGATGTGAGACTTAAATTTTTTTCAATAATTAATTGTCGCTATTAGTAAAGTTTGATGTGATGTAAATACATTTTTAGTAACTATTATATATTAGTCATTAATATTTGTATTAAATAATAAAATAAAAATAATTAATTTATTATTGCTAAATAATTATCGATAATAATAAATTTTGTTATAATGAGTACTTAGTGATGAAATATTCTTTATTATATGGTTTCTAAATTCTTCTTTCAAAGAAATATCTATTTCACTTATTTGGACTTTAGAAGTGAAATAAAGTAGTGGTAAGGGAAAAAAAAATCTATTGTTTAAATAAATAAAAGAATGGTGTAAAATCAATTATTATTATTTATTCTAATACCAATTTAAAAAGTTTAATTTAACCTTAAAAATTTACTAGTTCTGTCTTAACATAAAAAGTATTTATTATTTTAATTATGAACCAATAGTTTCTCTTTTTTTTTTATCCTTTTTTTTAATATCACCCAAAAAAAAACTGTCTATTTTTCTCTACTACATAAAATGAAAATTTTGCATTTTCATCACACTTTCTTCCCATTAACTTACCCAAACAAAAGGGTAATTTCATCTTCTTTATTTTTTCTTCATAAATTATTAGGTTTTAGATATATAATAGCATAATTGAAAGAAAGAAAAGAATAAAAAGTGTATTTTGAGGTCTATCATAGTAATACTAAAAGGATAATTTGTTATGAAACAACTTTAATGTAATGTATATATACATTGTTTTTAGTAATATACTTGGCACTATCATAAATATGCAAGTAGAAAGATGTAAAACAAATTAGAGAAAACAAGGTTACATATAAGTAGGTTCGGTGCACGAAGGAATTTAAAGTTGGTCAAAGGCAATAATTAAAAGTGGTTAAAATTGAATATCAATTGCACACTAAATTTAGAAGAAGAAGTAAGTGTTTTTAATTATAAGCATTTTTAGGACACAAAAATGAAGATAATTAAAATAAAAATAGAACAAGTTTCTAAGTTAAAAATTATGTGTGCATAAGTTAAAAATATTTTTTTTACAGAGGCTAATAACCTTCTCCTTTTATTTTTATTAAATAAAATAAATATAATTCGTAAAATAACACATATACTATATAATTAATATTTTTACAAATCTTTTTTAATTTTAATAAAACACATTTAATTACTCTAAAAACATATATTATTTTATTTAGAAAACTTAGAATGTTATACACCATCATCCCTCAATTATCATCAACAACCACCTTGACTCTGATCTGATTGTCAGAATAGGAAGACACTTAAACATTGGTTGGTTCCTCTTGATACACTTCTTACTCTACAATGTTGATTAGTTGTTTTCTGGCATCTTGAGGATTTTTCTTCCAATGGCAAAGGCCTCCAATAAAATTTATCTATCAATATTATCAATATTTTTTATTTATTTAAATATTTTGGTGACAAAAGATATTAAATCACTAGTGGAAAATTAACATATTACGTCACCCCTTTTATGTCAGAAATACGAAAATTTGACGTAAAAAAAATGCGGTGGCATTTTTGTAATTTTTGTGAACTTTTTTACGTCAGACCTGGTAGGGTCCGACATAAAAAGTCCAATCTACGTCGGAGGTGTGTTGTGTCCGACGTAGATTAGACTTTTTACGTCGGACCCTACCAGGTCCGACGTAAAAAAGGACGCAAATTTGAATAAGAGAGCGCGAGGCACACCGCGCGCATTCACTCTTCATCACTTTTCATTTTTTTTTTCTCTAAACCCTCTCCCTCTCCTTTGTTATTGAATCGTTTTTTTGTCTTTTGCAGAGGGATGAACTCTTTGTTACTCATTTGCACATTGTTGCTGCTCCTCAGATATGAATCAAGGTTTCGTTAGCACTTTTCTACTTCGCATTGCTACTTTGGCTATCTGTTTTATTTGATTTTTTGGTTGTTCTATTTGTATAGGTAGTGAGCGTTTTCTTTTGGGTTGTTATACGAAGCTGAATGGCTTGTTCTACAAGCAGAACGGCCCGTTCTCCAAGCAGAACGGCCCGTTCTGCAAGCAGAACGGCCCGTTCTGCTCTGCTGACAATTTTATGTTTTTTATTTTTTTTATTTTTTTCCCTACTTTTTTGCGTCGGATGTTGTAACGTCCGACGTAAATTTACGTCGGTTTTCAGGTTCGACGTAAAATTTACGTCTCCCGCTTCTACGTCGGTATGTTTTCTGACGTAAAAAACTGAAAATGTTCGACGTAGTACACCTCTTTTGTACTAGTGAATATTTAATTTTTAAAACTACTAAATTTAAAAAATTTAACAAATAATTATTTTTTAATAAAATTTAATATTGAAATATCAAAATTTTAAAATATATTAAAAAAATATTTTTGACAATTCTATCAATTAATGAACATTATAAATTTAAACATATTATTAAAATTCAATAGTATGAATGAGAAATAATAAATGCAGAAAGGACTATATATAAAAAAAATGTTATTTAAGAAGTCATCAAACTAGAATCAATTGTTTATTAAAAGATTGAAAATAATTGATTTTATTTATTTTTATTCAAGTCTTATCATTTATATTATTTTTTTATTAATTATATCATTTTTTAAAACTCTATAATATTTTTGTAATTTAATAAAATCTTTTCAATTCTTATAATATATAAGTCATTAAAATATAGAACCTTGATTATAAAAGTCTTTTAGATAAAATTTTAAAAGTCATTAAATTTTTACAAGATCTTTTAAAATTTATAAAAAAAATTAAAGTTAAAATAATTTTATAAAATCTCAACCTAGGATACTTCTAATATTAGAGGATATTTGAAAATTAGAATAAAATATACCAATCATTCTGATAAAATAAGATATTTGTGGATTTTATATTTCGGGGGAAAAGTTGAATGATAGATTCAATATATGTTGCTATTTAATTTTATTTTACCTTATACATGTATAGATTTTTTTATTAGTAAAATTTGTACATGTATGCATAGGTTTATGGACAAATTGAAGAAGGTTACATTAATTAATAGAAGGCTCAATGTGTGGATCACATTTGCATTGTGAAATAACATATTTTTATTTTTATTTAGAAGGATTCATGGTGTCCTCGTGTTATAATAGGAATACTAGCTAGGTTAAAATTGAAAATGAGACAACTTTGTGGTCATTTCAATCTTTAACCAGTCAAGTTTCCCTGCTAGCTAGGCAGGTATCAACTCATTGGTTGACAGGTGCAGAATAGAAGAATTCAATTAATATATGTTCTTATTGATGTTGTCATAATTATTTTTTATTATAAATGATGAGATTGGAACTCCTCTGAATCTCTAGTAGTAGGATGGGATCACCCCTGAAGAATGTGAGT